ACCGTTGAAGCCCTGACTGAAGAACCTCTGACTGAAGAACCTCTGACTGTAGAACCCCTGACTGTAGAACCCCTTACTGAAGAACCTCTGACTGTTGATCTTCTGACTGAAGAACCCCTGACTGAAGAACCTCTGACCGTTGAAGCCCTGACTGTTGAACCTCTGACTGTTGAACCTCTGACTGTAGAACCTCTGACTGTTGAACCTCTGACTGTAGAACCTCTGACTGCAGAACCTCTGACTGTAGAACCCCTGACTGTTGAACCTCCGACTGTTGAACCTCTGACTGTTGAACCCCTGACTATAAAACCCCTGACTGTAGAACCCCTGACTGAAGAACCACTGACTTTAGAACCCCTGACTGAAGAACCTCTGACTGTAGAACCCCTGACTGTTGAACCTCTGACTGTTGAACCTCTGACTGTTGAACCCCTGACTATAAAATCCCTGACTGTAGAACCCCTGACTGAAGAACCACTGACTTTAGAACCCCTGACTGTAGAACCTCTGACTGTTGAACCTCTGACTGTTGAACCTCTGACTATAAAACCCNCTGACTGTTGAACCCCTGACTGTAGAACCCCTGACTGAAGAACCTCTGACTATTGAACCCCTGACTAAAGAACCTCTGACTGTTGAACCCCTGACTGAAGATTTTCTGACTGAAGAACCTCTGACTGTTTAACCTCTGACTGTTAAACCTCTGACTGTAGAACCTTTGACTGTTGAATCCCTGACTGAAGAAGCCCTGAGTGAAGAACCTCTGACTGTTGAACCCCTGACTAAAGAACCTCTGACTGTTGAACCCCTGACTGAAGATTTTCTGACTGAAGAACCTCTGACTGTTGAATTCTGACTGTTGAACCCCTGACTGAAGAAGCTCTGACTGTAGAACCTCAGACTGCTGAACCCCTGACAGAAGAACCTCTGACTGGTGAACCTCTGACTGTTAAACATCTGACTGTTGAACCCCTAACTAAAGAACCTCTGACTGTTGAACCGCTGACTGAAGAACCTCTGACTGAAGAACCCCTTACTGAAGAACCTCTGACTGTTGATCTTATGACTGAAGAACCCCTGACTGAAGAACCTCTGACCGTTGAAGCCCTGACTGAAGAACCTCTGACTGAAGAACCTCTGACTGTTGAACCTCTGACTGTAGAACCTCTTACCGTTGAAGCCCTGACTGAAGAACCTCTGACTGTAGAACCCCTTACTGAAGAACCTCTGACTGTTGATCTTCTGAATGAAGAACCCCTGCCTGAAGAACCTCTGACCGTTGAAGCCCTGACTGAAGAACCTCTGACTGAAGAACCTCTGACTGTAGAACCCCTGACTGTAGAACCCCTTACTGAAGAACCTCTGACTGTTGATCTTCTGACTGAAGAACCCCTGACTGAAGAACCTCTGACCGTTGAAGCCCTGACTGTTGAACCTCTGACTGTTGAACCTCTGACTGTAGAACCTCTGACTGCAGAACCTCTGACTGTAGAACCCCTGACTGTTGAACCTCCGACTGTTGAACCTCTGACTGTTGAACCCCTGACTATAAAACCCCTGACTGTAGAACCCCTGACTGAAGAACCACTGACTTTAGAACCCCTGACTGAAGAACCTCTGACTGTAGAACCCCTGACTGTTGAACCTCTGACTGTTGAACCTCTGACTGTTGAACCCCTGACTATAAAATCCCTGACTTTAGAACCCCTGACTGAAGAACCACTGACTTTAGAACCCCTGACTGAAGAACCACTGACTTTAGAACCCCTGACTGTTGAACCTCTGACTGTTGAAAAGATTCAATTATTCCAGTTCTACTTTAAACCAGATTAAATCAGTTAAAACCAGATTAAATCAGTTTAAATCAGATTAAGTCAATTTAAATCAGATTAAATCAGTTTAAAACAGATTACGTCAATTGAAATTGGATTAAATCATTTCAAATCAGATTAAATCAGTTATAATCGATTAAATCAGTTTAAATCAGTTTAAATCAGATTAATTCAATATAAACCAGATTAAATCAGTTTAAATCAGATTAATTCAATATAAACCAGATTAAATCAGTTTAAATCAGATTAATTCAATATAAACCAGATTAAATCTGTTTAAATCAGACTAAGTCAATTTAAATCAGATTAAATCAGTTTAAATCAGATTAAGTCAATTTAAATTGGATTAAATCATTTCAAGTCAGATTAAATCAGATCAATCAGATTAAATCAGATTAAGTCAATATAAACCAGATTAAATCAGTTCAAACCAGATTGAATCAGTTTAAATCAGATTAAATCTGTTCAAAACAGGTAAAGTCAATTCAAACCACATTAAATCAGTTTAAACCACATTAAATCAGTTTAAATCAGATTAATTCAATTTAAACCAGATTAAATCAGTTCAAACCAGATTAAATCAGTTTAATCAGATTAAGTCAATTTAAACCACATCAAATCAGTTTAAACCACATTAAATCAGTTCAAACCAGATGAAATCTGTTTAAACCACATTAAATCTGTTTTTAAATCAGATTAAGTCAGTTTAAACCAGGTTAAATCATTTCAAACCAGATTAAATCAATTTAAATCAGATTAAATCAGTTTAAACCAGATTAATTCCTGTAATTTTTATTGTGTGTTGAATTAATCTGGACCTGTCAGAGGATAAGTCCTGGTCTGTCAGGTCCTGGTCTGTCAGGTCCTGGTCTGTCAGGTCCTGGTCTGTCAGGTCCTGGTCCGTCAGGTCCTGGTCTGTCAGGTCCTGGTCCGTCAGGTCCTGGTCTGTCAGGTCCTGGTCCGTCAGGTCCTGGGGTCGGATTTATAAAACTTGCGTACGCACAATTTGAGCCCAGAAACTTGCGTACGCCACTTTTTACGCCAAGGTTGTGATTTATAAAATCCAAACTTGACGTGAAAATGTGCGGTGCCTCACGCCAGCTCTGACCCATGCGTACGCTCATGTTGCG